GGACATTTCATAACTAGGGGTGGCAGAATCAAATTAGGAACTTACCTTGTGGAGCGTGGCTTGGCAGCAAAGACTTGTACACAACTTACAATATGCGAGCCAATAGAAAAGGACGGGGATGAGCATTTATTATTTATTTTGGAGAGCGATTTGAGAAAAAAAAATAAAAATAAAACAATTTTTCTGGAGTTGAGCTTTATTTTAATTGGGTGGTGGATCAAGAACACTCTTCTTGATTACAATTGAGTTATTTGTTTTGAATTCTAACAGAGTGTTCGAAGGTTCACTCTGATCTGTTTTGAGGGAGTCAAACTAGAAACATCACAAGGGATTTGTGGTCGGATAAGTAGTGGTGTAGATTATTATTCAAGTACAATGTCGAGGGAGTCTGCATTTTAAATCCTTGAATAATGTTGGAGATGTCTACATTAATGAAAGAGATCTGAAGGGAGAGTGGGACGCTCTCCTGAAGGTTCAATTTTGAGAAATACTGCTTCTGCACTTGTTTGAACTTTCTCAGTTTACTTAGTTACTTGATAAGCGCGATTCTGGTTGTTTTCGTATACCTATATACAACTTCAATTGACACCAGAGCGGGTTTTCGTGCACATTAAAAAAGATCTGAGGGCTTGTGTATTGGGCAATCATGAATCAGGAAAGTGGATCGATGTCTAGGCCTCCACAATTGGATGGTTCATACTACTCCTACTGGAAATCTATGATGACGATTTTTTTGAGATCTCTTAGAAAAAGTGTGTGGGAAAGTGTCGAGAATGGCTGGGAACATCCTGTCATGCCAGAGGCACCAGATCAAGAAAAATGAGCTTCATCGGCTGCCGTTCCTAAATCGAAGGATCTCTGGACTGACGCCGACACACTTCAAGAAGAAACGAACTATCGAGCCCTCTATGCTATCATGATGGCGGTTGATCAGACACGACACAAGAAGATAGTTCAATGCAAGAGAGTGAAAGATGCATGGCGAGTTCTACAACGCTAGTTTGAAGGTTCAACGACTGTCAAAGTGTCCAGACTTCAACGAATAACTCTTGAATTTTGATGAAATCAGAATGCGGGATGAAGAAACGATAGATATGTCTGTGATCTGGTGAATCAAATTTTAATGGTTGGAGAAGATATCTCTAAAAATCGTCAAGTCCAAAAGATTATGCGGACAGTTGCGCCTAGGTTTAGAGAGAAAATTACCGCCCTTGAGAGTTTTCAAAGAATTGCGCCGCTGATGTTGATGAACTCCTTGGTGATCTTAGGATGTTCGAAATTAACAACAACTACGATAAAGTCAAGAATAAGGGGATGGCTCTCAAAGTGGTGGTGATGCCTCAGAAAGAAGAAAGTGATGAGGATGAAGGTTAAGCAGTGGATGACAGTGAGTTGAAAGAAGCACTCGCACTGATTGCGAGAAATTACAGCAAAATGAGTCAGAAACTGTATAAGAACAAATTTGCTGGTAAGAAGTTCAGTAATAGCAGCAAGACCTCATTTCAAGAAAAGAAGAGGAACATGTCATCCTCAAAAATAGACACTCAGCGGGTTGAGAAGGATCAATGCCGAGAATGTCATGGGTCTGGTCATTTTCAATTCTAATGTACGAATCTTAAAAGAAAAAATAAGTCGTTGAAGGCAACTTGGGAAGATTCAGATGACGACGAAATAGAAGAACCTTCTTCTCATAGAAGGAACATGGCAATTCATTTTTCAGTAAACCAGTTCATGTGTCTTACCACTTCCCATGGCCCAATAAAGTTTAAACAAATCATGAATGAATCTGATGTGTCTGATGATGAAATGGAGAAAACTGTGTGTATGGATCCAGTACACTTGCTGGCCATGGAGAAATTCTCTCAAGTATCAGAAGCTATGGAGAAGCTTCAAAGTTTGAAGAATGAGGTTCAAAAGTTGACAAAAATGAATCAGCTTCTGAATGAACAGGTAACCTCCACCTTTTCTCACCAAAAGGAAAATGAACTCAATGCTGCAAAAGCTCGTACCTCTATTCTGGAAAGTGCTATCAAGGTGTCCAAGCAAGATGGGATGGAGAAGACTCAAACTATCGAAGAATTGAGGTCTGAACTTTTTTCCACTGAGAAAATGCTTGCTGAAAGGAACAAGAAAATCACCAAGCTCAAGAGTGAAGTTAGTCGAGTGATGAACGAACATGAAAGTTTGTAAGAAAAATTGAGTGTGAATTCCGTACAACTTAACGAACTACTGAAGCCGTGAGAAAACTAAAAAAAGGGAAAGCAAATTTGAATGAACTTCTCATAATGGGAAGGTTGTATGGTGATCTTACAGGGCTGGGATATACAGAAAAAGTTGAAAACCCTAAAAGTTCGTCAGACGGGTCAACCAAAAGAAAACATCCGGGACTGGATTATCCAGCAAGTCAGATGTTGAAGGTAGTAGTCTACATGGGAAACCTTCTCTTGATCTCTACAACAGGTTTGTAGAAAGCACTATACCCTCTTCTTCTGAAAGTAACGTGAAGGTTCATGTTCCACTTAGTGATTTTGGGAGTAAATCATCATGTAACTTCATTCCCATCTGTCATTATTGTGGTATGACTGGCTATATCAGACCCAAGTGTTACAAAATGCAACATGATCTTTGCACTAGAAGAGTGTCAAACTGGAACTATTCTGGTATACCAGTGAAAGATCATAGGATCAGTTTTCAAAATAAAATTGTGAAGAACCAACAAGTATGGATTGCAAAAAATGCCTTTAAATGTTTTGCATCAGTCTTATCCCTCAAAACTTCACTTGGAGGTAAATGGTACCTTGACAGTGGATGTTAAAGGCATATGACTGGTGAACTTGCATACTTGTCTGATGTAAAAATTGGATCTAATGGTGAAGTAAAATTTGGCGATTGTGTGAGCAATAAAGTTATTGGAAACGGCTGTTTGAATCTAGGTGGCTTTCCCAAGTTGAATGATGTTTTACTTGTGAGTGACTTGAAAGTTAATATTTTGAGTGTGAGTCAGCTCTGTGATCAAGGTCTTACTATTAGTTTTTCACGTGACAAATCTTTTGTGAAAAACAATGAAGGTACTTATGTGATTACTAGATTTTGGTCGACTGGCAATTGCTATCTTGTTCATTTTAATGGAAAATGTTTTCAAGAAATTGCCAGTGAATCCGAAATCTGGCATCAACACTTAGGTCATATTGGATATTCTCACTTGGTCAAACTTTCAAATGCAGGTGTGGTTCGTGGAGTTCCAAAAATTACTATGAAGGAACACTCGATATGTGAACCTTGTCAACTGGGTAAACAGACTCGGGCTTCACACAAATTCTTGAATCACAATCGAAGCAAGTTCTGGAGATGCTACACATGGACCTGATGGGACCCATACAGGTTGAAAGCAATCAAGGTAAAAAGTACATATCCGTGTCTGTGGATGATTTCTCATGATTTACATGGGTTGATTTTCTTGCATGAGAAATCTGACACTTTTATTGCCTTTAAAACTTTGTGTCTGAAAGTTGAGAATGAAAAGGGATTTCCTATGATCGTTATTCGGAGTGATCATGGGCGTGAATTTCAGAATAATGAGTTTTTGAATTTTTGTGATTCACGTGGTATTTTTCATGAGTTTTTTGCACCTAAGACTCCGCAGCAAAATGGAGTTGTTGAGAGAAAGAATCGTACCCTTCAAGAAATGGCAACGGTTATGCTAAATTTCAAGAAAATCTCTCATAGATGGTGGGCAGAGGCAATCAACACCGCATGCTACCTCGTGAATAGAGTTTAACTTCGTCAAGGTATGAGTTTAACGTCATACGAACTCTAGAAAGGTAAGAGTCCAAACCTTAGTCATTTGCATGTTTTTGGGTGTAAATGTTTTATCTATAATGATCGGGAACAACTTGGAAACTTTGATACAAAATGTGATGTGGGGTTCTTTCATGGATATTCTAACAATAATCGAGCATACCGTGTTTACAACACAAGTACCTCCAATGTCATAGAATCCACGAATGTAACTTTTGATGAGAAAACTCTCAATGTTAGTTCATCTGTGTTGTTTAATTTGTGTGATAATGTTGCGAGTACACAGGGTACTCAGGATGTTGACAGTGTCAAAGAAAGTGAGGACTATGAATGTTCGAACACAGCTGAAGGCTCACAGGAGATTCAGACAGAGTATAATGTACCTGCCGCACTTGAAAGTCAAGCACAACCAAAGCGAGATCCACCCTTGAAGATTCAGAAAGCTTATCCATCTGAATTGGTCATTGGTGACTTGAATGAGAGAGTAACCAGAAATTCAAAAACCTCAATTAAGGAACTCATGGGAATCTGTTACTTTGCTTGCTACACCTCCTTAGTCGAACCCAAGTGTAATGCCCCGTTTAATTATAGAATATTTGGGAATTATTTATTATTATCATTATTATTATTTATTGTTTATTTATTTTGATTATTATTATTTGCCCTTATTTGTTGTTGTCATTATTATTGGTGAAATGTTAAATATTATTAACGTCTATATGATTTATTTGTTAAATTGCGTTTAAATGCTTAATTGTCTAAATATTATTTATTTGCCAAATTGTAGTTAAATGCCTAATTGTCTAAATGATATTATTTAATTAAAATGTGTATTTGTATTTATATTAATATTATTATTTTTAAAAATTAAATTGTATGTATTATAAATATATAATATCTGGTTTATTTATTTTATTGGGCAATTTAATTTCCGAGCCGAACCAATCTAATGTTGCGATTAATCGAGCCCGAGAGAACCGGCTGACCCGCGAGCCTGACAAACCGAACCGGCCCACACTTATTGAAATTGTTATCTTTTCTTTGGCCCAAATAGCCCACCATGTTCAGCCCATTTTCTTGGCCCAAATGAATATGATTTTCGGCCATTTAAGCGAAACCTCCAGCCCAATTGTTTTAACCTAAGAGAGCTGCCCTAATTTTCCCGTACGCCCTTTAACGCCCGCAATCAGATCTCAAACTACTCTCTCCCCTTCTTCATTGAGTCGACCAAATTCTTCCCTGAATCGTGCAGAGCACCATCGCCCAAACACCAGACTTCCAATCGCCATTTAATCCACCTTTCGTTCGCTTGAACCCATCCTATCGGTGCGCCCCGATCTCCGTCCGCGTGTGTGACTGCGGGAAGAGAAATCGAGCGGTAGATTCCGGCGAACTCCCAAACAATCAGACGAGTTCTCCAGCCACTGGACATCTGGGCGACCAAGAAGACAAGAGAAAACCCCTCGCCGGCGACCCACTTCAGCAGCCTCTCGTCGGTTTTCGTTCGCAGCAGCCGTACCTTCAACAACAGCAACCCATCCCATCGCTGTCCGTCAAGCGAGTCTTCTCCACGAAAGGCTGCAAGTTGCTGGTGCTGAAAATCCATTCGTTGGGCAGCAGCTATGAACCGTGCTCCAACCCCGCCGTGCTCGTTCGTCGTCGGAGCCCCTTACAGCCTGTTCGACGATGCCTTGCTGTCATCCGCCATTGCCAAGAGCTTTTGGGCCGTCCGAAACCGCGTCCCATTCGCTGTTGGCTGCTGAAGAACAGCGGCAGCCCCGTTCACCGTCATCGCTGTCCTATTTGCGGGGAGCACCTCTCGAGTAGTTTTGGGTCTCGAGTTTTCGATCTGTCCTTCGTTCGTTCGTCCGATTTTTCTAACCGAGCACTTAGATTGCCGAATAGAGGTATAAATCGTTCCAACCTTCTTGATGTATTTTGCTTGTGCTTGCGTTCTAAATCATTTGATAATATGCGTACCCGTGGAATTGTTTTCCTTCGTTTGTGTTAGACTATTTATCGGTTCGTATTCTCGTTCCGTTCGTTGTGTTGTTATTTCGTGATTTGACGTGGGAATTCGGAACTCTCGATTTAAAAAAAAATCGGGTCTCTTTATTGTTGCTGTTGCTATCGTACATTTTTGGAGACTCGTTTTATTGTTTCGAGCCTTGCTGTCGTTGTTTTGCCGTTTGGCTGTTTTCGAGTCGTGTGTTGTTGTTTCGTTTTTCTTTCGAACTGAAAATCCATTTTCAAATAATTTTGAACTCTGAAAAATTAGTTCCTCTGTGCAGCAAGTGAGATAACTGCAACTTAGGATTTGAGTATTTCATCTCGTGAGTAAATTGTGAATTTCATACAAGCGTGAATTTTGTTTTGTGCTTGGTGATTTGCTGGATAAATTGCAGGGAAGGAAAAATTGGAAGAAGGTGAAGGAATTGAATGAGTGTGTTCGGTAGATGTCATGGTACTTTTAAATGGTGTGTGCGTGAGTTAATTTCACGTGTGTCGGTTGCGTGAGTGGGCTTCTGGGGTGGCTTTTGTTAAATAATTTTGGGTTAAAGTTGTCAGCCTTTGAGAGTGAATTTTTAAGGGTAGAGTTATTAGTATTGGGCTTTTAAAATAGTGTTGGGCTGAGTTGTCCCGAGTCGTTTGTCACAATTTTGAGCCTTTGACCTAGAATCTATTTTTGGCCATATTAAATGATTTTTTTTTCAAATTATCTCTTAAAAAAAATAATTCGAGGGTTTCAAATTCCACAAAATTTCATGAGCTACTTAGTCGATGATTTTTCGACTAAGTACGAATTCTCGTTTTGAATTCCCAATTTTCAAGATAAGTATTTTTGAAATATTATCTTGAATAAATTGTAGGTGTTTGAGGAGTCGAGCCTCAGCCAACCTACATCCGATAATGTGATAAATCTGCCAAACTTACCAGGTGGGTTTTATTTAAAAATCGTCTATGCAATAAATTGTTTACCTTACCTGTGATGATCAATGTATGATTACGAATCATATAGCCTTCGATGTGAGTTGTACCGGCCATCGAATGGTTGTCCCGTATTTATAAAATGAAAACCCGAGGGGTTACTCCTACTGACTGGGCATCGACAGAAGCCCATGGGGCATTCGATGTGTAAGACCGGAGGGCAGAGACGTAAAGCCCATGGGGCGTTCGATAGAAGCCTGTGGGGCATTCGATGCGTCTTCCGGCAGTAGTCTATTGGTATAGATGTGCACATGAGTCTGAACACTTAATTTATGATGAAAATTTTGGGGATATGTGATTGATTCTTATACATGCTCTGATCATAAATTCTGTTTTGATATGAAAATGTTTATTGCATAGTGGTGAGCACTACGGTTTCCAACTGTGCTCATCCCCACCTGAAATTCACGTTTCAGGTTAAGCGAGGCAGGTACGACGGCGGTGTAGAGCGAGTGGTAGACGGTCTGTGAGACCGGTCATTAAATGTTTTTTCTTCCGCTATCTTAATGGCTATTTACGATTTATGCATTTTTTGAATTTGGGAATTTATGAGGTATTGAGATACCATTGGGGAGATACCCCGTTGACATTGTCATGTCTTAAAAACTTGAAGTTTTGGTATGGAAACCCGTTTGGGAAAAATGGTAATTTACGGATTTTTGGATCACAGTTTGGGAGTTTGATTCATGTGATGAATTAATGATGTGTTTGAAAAATAAATGAGTAACGCCTTAAATGTGTTTGAAATAAAATTTGAAAAATTTATTTCAATCTTTGTAAAATAAAAGTGGGGCGTTACACCAAGAATGCAAAAGAAGTGCTGAAGGATGAATGTTGGATCTCAGCCATGCAAGAGGAACTAGAGCAGTTCCCCAGAAATGACGTCTGGGAACTAGTACCTGAAACTTCGTCGGGGAATGTTATCATAACCAAGTGGATCTTTGAAAACAAAATTGATGAGTTAATGTGACACGCAACAAGACTAGATTGGTTGCACAAGGTTACACTCAGACTCAAGGAGTGGACTTTGATGAAACCTTTGCTCTAGTGGCAAGGCTCGAATTAGTACGTATTTTTTTATCAATTGCCTACCTGATGAACTTCATTGTTTACTAGATGGACGTGAAGTCGGCATTTCTAAATGGTATCTTGCATGAAGAAGCCTATGTAAAGCAGCCTGAAGGGTTCAATGATCCCAAAAATCCTAATCATGTCTACAGACTCAAGAATGCTTTGTACGGGTTAAAACAAGCACCTCGTGCTTGGTATGAACGCCTTACTATGTCCCTTGTTGAGAAGGGGTTCAAGTGAGGGGGAGTTAACTAGACATTCTTTGCACTTAGAACAAATGAAGACATGCTGGTGGTTCAAATCTATGTGGAAGACATCATCTTTGGGTCAACTTCCGAGAAGCTAGTTAATCACTTTGTCAAACTAATGTCCTCTAGATTCCAAATGAGTCTGGTAGGCAAACTCTCGTACTTTCTTGGTCTTCAGGTAAAACAAGATAAAGATGGTATTTTTTTGCATCAAAGCAAATATGCTATAAACCTTGTTAAAAAGTTTGGTCTTGAAAATGCTAAAAACCCTCAAACTCCCATGGGCACTCATGTGAAAGTGTCCAAGGATGATGAAGGTACATCTATTGATCAAACGTTATACAGAAGTATGATTGGTAGTCCTCTCTATCTCACTGCTAGTAGACCTGACATTTGCTTTAGTGTTGGTCTTTGTGCCAGGTATCAGTTGGATCCCAAGGAATCGCATATGAAGGCTGTTAAACATATCATCTAATATGTTAGAGGTTCAACAGACTATGGATTATTTTACTCTGCTGACACATCCTTAATCTTGCAGGCTATTGCGTAGCAGATTTGGTTGGAAATCTAGATGATCGAAAAAGAACCTCCCGTGAATGCTGTTACATAGGGTCCAATCTTGTTTCCTGGTTCTGTTGTCGTACGAATTTGTAGCAACGTAATAATATGGAATTACATGATTCAAAACATAAAATTGTGATAATTCGGGATTTTTATTGATTAATATCGGTGCGGTTTTTACGCAGCCGAATTGAAATTTTAACAGAGTGTTCTCTCCCTCCTCTGAGGAAACTTTAGCCTATTTATAGTAACTTTTTGTACACACATTTCGAGGCTTGCTAATAATTTGCGTCACATCGAAAGTAGCTTTGAAGGAGCGGTTATGACAGTTGGGTCCGTGATCATCATGATGATAGTCTCGATACGCGAGGGTGTCGTGTAGGTGCGGCGTCACCTGCTTTGATTTTGATGAATTTAGTTTTTGTTCGACATCAATCGTCACGTCGATGGAGAAGGCTCGGGAGTTCGGTATTGACCGAGATTGCTCGCCATGTCGGTTACGAAAAGAAGTGACTTCGGTGACTCCAGTCTTGAAAACGACTTTGGTTTTGCGATAGGCTATCTTCGAATAAATTGTGGCTATTGTCGATCAGGCTGATTTCGTCATAAACTCTTCTCTTATGTATCTTAAATCATTTAAAACCGGTTATCTCTGGACATTTGGCGCGTTCCCAAGTCGATGGTCAACATAGAGGCCCCCGATGCTAGTGGTCATACGGTAGTGATGGCGGCTAGCATTGTTCATTAAAGTTTCCAGAGCCGTCTTGGGAACGAGCTTTGAGGTCATTTCTTGATATCATAAGTTTCCCCTTAACTGACAGTGTATTCCAAAGTGCGAACACTTAGTAAAATTTAGACTTGGAATAAGATAGGATTTGCAGCGTGTGTGTTAATATTGAAATGGCATAACAGTTAAAGACATGTAGACATACACGTGGAGCACAGGTATTGGTCAGCGAAAAAGAAAGGCTGGAAAGGTTGAATCGTCTAAAATCGCGTGATGTACACGCGCCCCAACTTGTACGCCAACGGTCACAATAGTGGAGTATAAATATTAGGACTTGAAATTCAATTAGGTTTTCACCTTCGTCTCTCATTTACAATCTTCACACTTTCTCTTTCCTTTCTTTTCTGCATCTCCGCTGCACTCATCATTATTTGTTTCCTCGTTGTTCTTTGGGCAAATCAATTCAATTTCTGTGGCTAGGTGAACTTAAGATCTTGAGGGTAAGCCGCGATCTCAATTTCTTTTTTCCCTTTGTTTACTATTTTCTTCATAATTTCAATTAAAATGGCGTCTGTGGTTTAGAGCGGGAAATCGTCTAGTAGTAGGACCGTATCTGAAAAGACCATAATAATTGATTTTGAATTGATGGAGTTGACTTATGAATATCATCGGTGGGATCCGATGCTCGTTGAATTCCTTGAGATAAAGACAAACAATGTAGAAGGGGATGAAAAGGCCAAAAAGAATGCAATGTTGTTGTCGGAATATTGGAGGCGACCGATTAGAATATAGCCGGATGTTAGAGTTGATTTTTGGGGAGAACGAAGTATATTGACGGATGCCGATGTTGTTCTTTTGCAGGAACAAATTCGGGTTCCGCCGTCGGTTAAATTATTTGCGTCGTATCCCGGGGAGAGGATTGTATGTCCGCCTCCTAGCTGTGTAGGCGTTTTTTCCGATAGTCAAAGGTCGGGATGGATATTTCTTGTCCCCGATATGATAACCGAAAAC